CCCTTCGCTCCGAGCCCTGAGTGGACGAGGGCCGAGGCAGCAGCATGGTGCTGAGCTCTGTGGTGGACGTGGGGACCTGAGACAGGAGGGGACATGAGACAGGAGGGGACATGAGACAGGGGGGACAGGAGGACACAGGATGAGACAGGAGGAGACATGAGACAGGAGGAGACATGAGACAGGAGGAGACATGAGACGGGGGGACAGGAGGGGACAGGAGGAGACATGAGACAGGAGGAGACATGAGACAGGAGGACACAGGTTAAAGCTCAGATTAGTTTGACTCGTCTCTAAACACCTGACTGTTTCCATGGTGACACATGTAAACAGTCAGGTCAAACATTTCGTCTTTGTTGGGCTGCCTGTCGTCACGGCAACAGATGAGCAGGTAACGAGTGGTGTCGGTGATTCAGAGGAATCAGCTGCTCACTGAGCCCGGGTCTGGACCAGAACCAGCAGGTCTCACAGCTCCTGGAGCGTCACCCTCCACACAGACGCTGACTCAGCAGTTCTCTAACATGGTTCGTGTCTGCTTCAGCTGTTTGACACGTCTGAACCTTCAGCAGCGTCTAATTAATCTAACTTTATTTATAAATAAATTAATGTACGAACATCACAAGCTGGAGGATACATTGATAAACAAACCAGCAAAATCTAAGACTAGAACTAATAAAAACTAAACTAAAAGTAAGCATTAAAAATGTGATAATAACTAATAAAAACTAGCAAACTGTAAAAACTAATTAAAACTGAATGAATTAAAAGAAAAAAAGTCACAACAAAATAAAACTAAACTATAATGAAAAACTTAAACTATTATAATCTTCATTAAATGCTGTCGTCTGGAATCAAACAGACTAAAACATCTGTAACATCTGTTACCTGCTGCAGAACATGAAGGAGCTGAACTGCAGCTAAAACACTACAAGTGTTAATGTTTGTTTGATTGTTTTAATGGTTTTTGTTCTGTTTGTTTTCAGCGAGGCTCAGGTTGTGTGTGTGTGTGTGTGTGTGTGTGTGTGTGTGTGTTTAGCCATGATATCACAGTACAGTTATGCAAAGTGCTGAGTCATCATTCACATATCTGCCTGTTGACTCCACCATTGTTTCCACTGAAAGCCCGACTCACACTCTCCTCCTTGACCTTCTCCATGGTGCAGGCCGGCAGCTGCCCCTGCAGCGGCGGGGGGGAAAGCCCGTTCTGGTCCATGGAGACGAACAGCTTCCCGTTGATGTTCAGAGTTGGATAAAACACCTGGGAACAGGCAGAGGAGCGCTTGGTTCAGAGACGTTCAGAGGCTGAAGGTTTCCGTCTGATCCTCTGGGTCTGCTCTCAGATCATCACAGCACTCTGTCACACATTACAGAGCCAGAAATGCCTGGCGTGACTGGGATCTGACACATGACGGCCCAGGCTTTGGTTACAGCTGGATCCACACGCAGGCCCAACGCTAACGGCTCTGTGGGTTCTGGTTCCAGTCGGGCAGCTTTTAGGATTCAGTCTGTAGAAACAGCTGAGACCACACAGAATGTGCAGGGTTTGATTTAAAACTTATGCTTTATAACTGACAACTGTCTGGTGTTAGAAAAGCCCAAACACTAAGTTCTGTTTCTACCAGACTGTGAAGTGTAAAATAAACTGTAAACTAATGTCACCAACATTCTGAGTGTAAAATCCTAGTTCAACATTTTCATTTTATTGTTATTTAGGTTACTGCTTTAACATTTTACAAATGTTTACTAAATGTTACATTTAAATGTTAAACTGTTACGTCAAAATGTTGAACACTAAATCTAAATGTTTTAACCTAAATGTAAAAATTAAATCTTAAATGGTGATGTTTACATTGAAGTATTTCAGAATGGAACACAGCCTTTGCTGTGGGTGTGGCTTTTGTTTTGATGTCATCATCCTGAGACGATAGCAGCAGCTAATGCTGCGAATAATGCTAAGGCTGCTAACGCTGCTAATATTGCTAATGTGCTAATACTGCTAACGCTGCTAAT